GATTATAAAATACAAATGAATAAAAATTTATTTTAAAAGACTTTTTAATTGTACCAATAAATTAAAATTACTAAATATATACTCCATTAACATATTTTATAAAAATAATGGAAAATTTTAGAATAACCCTAAATAAATATAATTTTTTAAATAACACCTCATAAGATAGGAAAATTTCTGATTCATCCCTCATCAAATAAAAGAGAAAATTCTGATTCCCCATATAATGGTTTAAATTTAAATTGTACATAAATTCAAGAATTAAAAAAGTATTTAAATAAATCTCGAACTTGAATTGGTACTTGATGCATATAAAGTTCTAATGTTCCCTAAATATTAAGGAATAGGTATAATATTAGATGGTATTCAATGTATTTAATTATCTTGTGCAGGAAAATAGTTTGAATTTTAAAGTAGCTACAAACTTTGAATCGTATCTATTTGATTAATTTTGTCAGATTAAGAAAAAAAAATATTTTACCAGATTAAGTATAAAAAGAATTTGCAAGGATTCGAACCCAAGTCTAATAATCTATCTAGATTTGTAAGCGAAGTTCTTGCCCGATTGGGCCATAGGCACTTTTCATATTTAAAGATTTTTTAAATATATATTATAAAGTGTGATATAAAAAGTGGGACATGAAAAATGTGACATGAGAGCGTAACGCTATTTTTGTGACAAGGCTTTTATATATATTATAGATGTTGAAAAAGGTTAATAGTATATTTTTAAGGTGTGCTAAAAATAATGTCTCGGCAATATGAAAATAATTATAATTTTAAATTCTTGATATTAGTTAGCGTACATTATTTTGTAAATTTAAATAAATTAGCTGATTCAATTTAAAATTTATATATCAACATCTTTAAAATTCGCAATTAGAATATGTGTATAAGCTAAATCGTCAATAGAGAGACCCTTTCTAAATTCTTTAATAATTTTTTTTAAATTATATACACGAAAGTGAATTATAAGACATAATTGAAAACAAATTTGATGAATAAATTCGGAGACCTGCAGACCAGGCCCTAAGCCCGGGTATGTGGACGGGTCATATTTTAATTTTTAATATACCTGGGCCGGGCCTAAAATTCTTTTTTAAAAAAATACAGGCCATGTCAATCCGGGCCTAAGAATATAAAACCCGGGTCGGGTTGAAAATTAAAAAAATCCAGGTCGGTTTCAAATGGTACCTCTGCAGGTCTCTGATAAATCTATTACTTCTCATTTACAGGATTTGAATATTTTAAATATCGATTTTTAACTATTTTGGCCAAATATAATTTTAAAAAGTTTCAAAATAAAATTATGGCAAACATTTTTACTTGCGTTTGCATTTATTTGCATCATATTACTTTATTTAGATAGTGACTTAAAGAAAATCAAAAAAAAAAAGTTGGAGTTTCATCATTAATTTTATTGGGTATTATTGCAGGCCTTTGGCTATATATATTTTTTTTAAAGAATAATTTTGTCATCTTCTTTAAAATAGAAATACTTTTTTTCTAAAAATTTTCTATTTATGCATTATTTGAAAACATTAACATTTACTAATATTTTATTTAAATAATTGCTTATAGTGATATATTAAATATATTGGGAAGGTGGGGGGGGGGGGGGTATTATTTGAAAATGATATTTTACGAGAACAGGAAAAATTTTGAAGGAGAGGGTTTCCTTACCAACCCACCCCCCCCCCCTCACTCCTGGCTGCGCCTAAATTATTATAATTAAATAATTGGAGGTACAATTTAATTTTTTTTAAAATTATATTTTTAACTAAACGTTAAATTTTTTTGTTGGTTTTTTTTTAAATTTCAAATTTCTAATGAGTTTTAGCATATTACATTTCTAAGATTTATGAACTCCGACCTTTAATATAAGTTAGATATAATATCTTAATAGACGTTAAAATTTATAAAACAATGGGCAGGTAGGCGGAGAAGGGGGTAAAAAAATATTTTTTATAAAATAGGCGGTCAGACCGGTAAATTCTACATATTTTTTGGAGAACATGAGCGAAACAGACAGACCTAAATTTGTTAAAAGTAACTTTTTTTTATTTCATATTATTGCATATTTTATCATTTTAAGTAAAAATATATCAAAATAGAGCTGATCAATAAAGTAATTCTTAAGTTTTGGGCGGGCGAGGTCAAACAAAGGTTTTAGATATAGACACCCTATAGTAAGGTGGGCGAGCGAATTAAAACTCCGCTAATTACAGATCTGTACAAGAGAGTAATATAAAAATAAAATGGAAAAGATTTTTAATAAAAACAAATAATTGATAGATAACTTTGTGCTAATTGGTGTTCAAATTTGAAAAGAGAGTATGCTCTATTTATCCCAGGTGCGTATCCGGCTGGGGGGGGGTGAAAACCCATCCACCTTTAGCCTCTTCCCCTAAAGCCACATGCAAATTATTATTTAAAAAGCGTTCGCTATTAGTTAATTATTGATTTTATGACGTAATATACCTATTATAAATACACTTCATGAAATAAATAGCCGAATATCTTTAATAATATATGTGTTAACAATTTATTTGATTATAGTAATATTTTTTGCAATTCTTTTTTGAGAACTTGTAGAGATTAAGTTGACACCAATAAAAGCTAGATTTTAAAAAATAGGTTAGTTGAAGATGAGAAATTTCATAAATTACTTGATTGCTGAGTTCAAAGCTTAATTTGATATTCAATATTTGTCTTACCTCAACCCATTTGAAGAAAATGAAATTTAAAAACCTATAAATTTTTAAAAAGCTAGCGATTGATTGCTCTTAAAATAAGTAGATTGAATAAACATGGGCGAACATTTTCGTGATTTTAGCGTAGTGGAAAGATATCTAAGCACAAAAGAGCCAATAATTTAGTAAGAGTGTTAAAACGCTGGTTTGCGAGATTTGGTACGCCTAGTCAACTGGTGTATGATAATGGATTGCAATTAATTTTGGCTGAGTTTAAACATTTTTGTAAACAAGAAAATATTAAACTCATCCATGTAACGCCATACCATTCTAAATCCAATGGACACGTAGAACTTTTTAGGAAATATAACTTTTTAAAAGAAATGATGAATGAGCTAAGAGAAATAATGAGTAAAATCTTGCGATAATATAGAATGAGTGTTCACAGTGCTACCGGGAAATCTCCCAGGTTAATGTTAGGAAGAAATTTAAAAAATAATTTAGATTGGTTAAGATAAAATCTGATAAAGGAGATCGAAGGTAGTAAAAGAATGAACTAGGAATAACACGATAAGAATACAGAGCAAAGATGATTTCAAATGGGACAATCGGTTATGGATATGGAACATATATTCTAAAGAGGAATGGATTTATTAATCCAGAGTTATTAGGAAGCATGAGTAACGACCGAGAAGTGAGAGGAAATTATGGGTCCTGAAAAGGAAAAAGAAAGAGTGGGGTAAAATGACCTGAATAAGATGGAAGACATATGGGTCAGAACTCAATCGACTGGGTGAACCATCGGGAGTAATTACAATAGTCTATAATTTTAAAATTGTTAAAATATATTATTAAGTAATTATGGGGATAGGTTATATTTGATATTAAATTATCTACATGTTGTATATTATGATAAATATATAAGTTGTTTAATAATATTCAAAAAGTTTTTATCTTATAGGGTTAAAATAGTCATGTTACCTGTATTTAGAAGATGTAAGAGTAATAAAAAGTTTTTCAGTACATAATTTAAAATAAGAATAAATTAAAATCAAAAATTGCCATAAAAAATTCTACTTGTAAAATAAATTATAAACGGAAACTAGTTTTTTAATAAATTATTTTTTAAAATTATTTAATAACAAACATGATTATCATTTTGAGCATTCGATAATTATTTTTTCAAAAAAAAATATTTTCCTCCCCTTTGATTTTTATATTAAAATTGGAAACAAGGGCTTTAAGGGAGCAGAGCATAGTATTATTCAATTTCCTTTCCAACGTGTAAATATGGAAAAATATTTTTCGGTTCTATCTTATAAACTAATGCAATGTTAATTGAATAATAAATAAAGTGATAATGTTTTTAAATAAAACTATAATTTTTTTGCATCTTTTAAACTTTATTAGATTGTATTTCATCTTCCACTGCTGAAATAAATTCTATTTGTTTGTAGTTTGTACTTAAAACGCTTGTATTTAGTTTATTTTAAAAGATTTTTTTAAATAAATTTTTAAAAAAATAATAAACATTTAAAAATAAATGCCTGAAATAAGATTCGTTTTATATTTACTTAAATAATGACAGCCTAAATATTATTATTCATTTAATTCACTTAATTAACTTAAACTATATTAGCGATATCACGGTTTTTATATGATCGATGCAAGATGTGAATTAATTTATGATTCCGATTTAATAGTGTAATATGTAATAATTTCGTATGTATAATTAATATGATTTTATATGTGGAGTACAATTATTTTATGCGCAATTGCGCAAAGTATGTTTTATATTAATATATATATTTTAAAATGTGCAATGAGTATTATTCCAAATGTTCCATTTTTAATAAAATATACGATTATTATGACATAATAGTCTTTTCTTATTAAAATAGTAATAGCTACAAATATAATATAGTATTGTATTGAGATAGGTTCGAAATCGCGAAAAACAAAAATTGTTAAAAATTGAGAATCTCGCTTATATCCCTTACAGGAAAGAATTTATCAATATTAATTTTAATTTTACTTATAAAATTTTATAGGAGATATAAGCGAGATTCTCAATTTTTAGCGATTTAGAACAGGGACCATAGTATTTAGCCCATGGTATTAGACATGCTTGTTTAAATATAAAAAATAATATAATTACACAATACATAGTAAAGAAAATTTACCCGACCATAGGCCCGTAAAATATACTATAAGGGAGGAAAGCTACCCATAAATGAAAAAAAAAATCCCCACGAGGCATTACAAAATGGCGTCTATGGCCTTAACTCCAATAGTTTACTCCTATGTACACTTTTAAATGCATTTCATAAATGAATCCTCAATCTAGAATAGCATAGTTTATTATGTTATTGGCTTTTAATCATTGAAAATTATCCATTTGACTATTATAGACTATATTTATAAAACTAACTTTCCTCCAATAGAGGGAGTTAAAATTTTCGATTTATATAATATATCCTTTATGTGCATTTATTCATTTAGCAATGAAACCACCCAAACGAGCGAAAAACGGCACAATTGTACTAAAACATTCGAGATCTTGGAATAAATTTGATAATAAAAAATTATTTGAAGCTCTTGACAAGTTTTTTTTAAAAGGCCTTACCTTTTATATAAAATCGTACAGGTATGGTGAAGATTTAAAAGAAATTAAGAAAATTTTGCCTAAACGAAGTTTTGAAGAAGTAACATAATATTGATTAATACTCACTACTTATATTTTTAGATTTTTTTTCATATTAAATATTACAAGAATATATGCAAAAGTAAATAAAAATATACTATTAATCATCTAAGTTTTGTTAAGGGGCATATATATGGCAATGCAAAAAAGAAGCACCTTATATATTGGTAACTAAGTTTATTTTATGATTAATACAAGTTTAATTTAGACATGGATTGACACAATAAAAAATGTAACATCCTTAGCTTTGCCTTTTATTAATATTATAGATAAAGTATCATTTATTGGAAAGGTAAATTATTTCTCATATCAAATTTACCTTATTACTTTAAGTTTTAAAATAGATTGCAGATAATATAGCTGAAAATTATCAAATTCAAACAAAACAGTTACAAACTTTATCAGAATTAATTGACTTCAAAAATCTATACACATTTATAGCAGATATTTTTAATAGCAGAAAAATTGGAGAATTAAAACCTTATGGTATATTCTTTTGATACATAAAAATATTTTATTTCTTTTGACACTCATGCTTAAATTATTTATAATACTATTAAGGGTGGGAAAAAGTTATAATTAGCATATCATTGAAAATTTTTATAAATAATATTTGAATACTGTGGTACTAATATTAAATGTTGTGATATTTTCATTGTTTTTTAATTATGTAATATATTTTTATTTTGTACATTTTCAGATAATAATAAATGAATAAAGTTAACCAAAATGAAGTTATTTTTAATGTTTTAAAAATTTAAATTATTTTAAAGAATGAATAATTAAAAATGTAATATTATTTTTTTGTCATCTTATTTATAAGAAGAAAAGGATTTAAATATTTAAGGAGTCACATTTCATTAATAATGCATATATTTTTAAATGAGATAATTAACTTTTGGGGAATAATAAAAAACCAAATACCCTTAATCATTCATGATAATGCATATCTTAATATAGGTTCAGGAAAAGTGTATCTAAATATTTTCAGGGTAAAGATATAATTAAAATTTGTTACAATCATGTAAGGTTTGCATAATGTCAAAATTGAAAATCCTTTGTTAAAACTTAGATCTTGAATTGGACCAAACATTTTTTATTCAATTTGATATTATTTTATTTATTTATAAAAAATATCCACAATAAAATTATTTGTAAACATATTTTTAGCCACACTAAAACATCTTTCATCTGAAAAGGTAGTGTAGACTTCGTACATTAAACCTTATATAGACTAATAAGATCAGGCATATTGTCTATGTGTGAAAGATGTTGCTTGAAATTCAATCAATTGTGCTTGCTGTTGTATATAGGTTCACAAATGCAGAAGGCAAGCATGATGTTTGTTGAAAGTTTATAAATTGTGGATGGTAATATGACTGGCTTTTATATTAGAAATGCAAAAATTTTGAAAAAATAGGGAAGTTCTGCTACCTAGGCAATACTTAACATAGATGGAGTCAGTGGTGTCCAGGATGAGATATAATAAGAGGAAATTAAGTGAGATATCTTCAATTTTAACAGATAAAATGTCTAGCTTTTAAAGAAAAGGTTTATGCAAGCTAAGTGGTTGTTTGCTATATGCCAGTAAGACATGCACAATTAAGGGGACTCACTTGCACATGTTAGGTATCTCTGAGTAAGACAAACAAAGAACTGAGAGAAGTGGTTGAAATAGAAGCGATTGGTAATGGTGAGAATAAATAGACTGAAATGGTTTGGAAATGTTGAAGAAAGGCAAAGGGTGATTGGTTGTGAATGGGACAACACTCAGATGGTGACGAATGACAAGCTGGATTAAAGTGGTTCATAATGACATCAAAATAATAAGTTTGACATAAAGTGATGCCCATGACCAGGAGTTAGAAAATTATAAGAGAAAATGGCTTGCCTATATAAACCTGGAAAAAGGCCACTAAATGTTGAAGAAGAATTGTATAGACAATAACAATTTTTTTTTTCTTTAGATTTTCTGGCATTTGGTAACATAGATAAAATAAAAACAATATAAATATGCAGTATCAGTTATCAGACCTATTTTCAATGAATATAAGATCAGTAAAGAATTTATCGATCAGCACTGCCATGTATTTACCCCCCCCCAATCAAAAAAGTGATAATAGAATAATTAAATTTTTCAAAAAAAACATAAAAAAGAAGTGGAAACCCAAATAATTTTGTTTTTAGAAAATATGACCTAACCAAAAGTTTGCCCAATGGGGCTCTAGTGCCTCCAATAATATTCATGGGGAAAATGTACATCTAAAAGTTCCCCTTTACTAAGGAAAATTCTGAATATAATATTACTTTTGTTTATCTATCATTTTGAAATTGTAACTAAGAGCTTTGTAGCCATTCCATTTGTCTAAATAATTTCATTATAATAAATTTTATTCTTTTCTTTTATCCCATTTTTTAAAAATTCAGTAATAAAAAGAATCTGTCATTTTGATCTTAATGCTTTAAATTGTATTTACTTGTTGGGGGAAGAGGCTAGTTAAATTATATATAGGAAGAAAGTGTAATATTGTTTCTTTTGACAGTTTTGCTTACATGCAAATGAATCAATAAAATAAACCAAGAAATAAAGGAATTTTGGAAATTGGTGATGATATTTTACTTTCATCATTAATTTTAAAGCTTAAAAAGGTAAACAGATTGAAATTTGACGTTTTGATTATTTTCTCAAAAAAAATATGGGGGAAAAAAGTGACACTTTCCTATTTCTCCCAAAAATATATCATACATGGGATGTCCTAACTAGAGAATCGCAATGGTAATAAAAACAGGCATTTTTTCTATTTGGCCATTGTTTTTTATATAGCCAGTCTGCCTGCTTATTGGTTAAAAAAAATCACCTGTCAATTTGTTTAAAGCTGTTGATACCATCTGCCGGCCTGTTGTTTAAAAAAATTAATTTTTGAAAGCCTGCCATTAGTATTGTTAAACAGCTCGATTTTTAAAAACGGCTGACACAATATTTTATCTAATAAATATTATGCAACCCTCAAAGATGGCAAAAAGGTTTGGACATTAATTAACGAAATCTCCAGGCTTACATTATATTATTTCGGCTAAAATTTTAATTTAAAATTGGGTAAATCAAGCCGTATAACAATAATACCTGCTCATAAAATATTTTTACCCGCCCTTCCCTTTCACACATCGTTAAAGTTTTTACCTATCCCATCTATTGTACTTAACGCCAACTCAGGCCACATCTCTAGTCCCAGCCATATACTTTAAGGTGCCAAAAAATGATTCTATTTGGGGTCATTTTATTTATCACTTGTATACTATATTGCAATGGTCAATCTAGTCTCTAAAATCTTTGTTTTATCTTATAAAACGAAAATTTTAATAGCCATTTTCAATTTACCTACAATTTAATAAAATAATTTAAAATATTATTAATAAATAAATAATATGATGTTTAAAAATGAAGCACGAAATTTGATTAGACCGAATTTGCTACATCTGCTGTTTTTACCAGCCTCAATACGGCACCATTTTTATATTTTGATGGGTAAAAGAAGAATTTTGATCTTTAAATGTGTGCGCTAAGATTTTGTTGGTTTTGAAAAAAAAATGGGAAATAAATGATTTTGAAATAAAGCTCGAAAAGGTAGATTATTGATGTAGAAATTTTTTTTTTAGATGAAAAAGAAAAGAAAGGCTGTTGATTGTTAGTAAAATGGGTGCGCGCCCGACTATCATAAAGGGTAATGATGAAAAGGAAGATTTTTATAAAAATGCGCCCTCTAAATAGTTGATGAGGTAAATAGAAGATATCTTTTTAAGTGAGCATGCGCGATAGTTCATAAAGTGCATGCTGCTACCATTAAAGTACGTGATGATGCAAAAAGTTTGGTGAAAGAAAAAAAAAGAAGAGATTTCTTTAGGTAATAATTTTACGAAAATTGTTGAACGACGGATTAGAAATGGTTGTCCGAAAAAATAAATAGTATTATTTGTTAAATGGGTCACAAAGTGTTGAACAAAGGAAACAGTGCAAATCAGTATGGATACAAATAATCGTTAATGGTATACAAACTGTCGATGGAAGAAATAAATGGCAGGCAAAGGACTAGGCTTTGAAAGAAGCAAAATAAACCGAAGAATATCGATAATGGGAGACCCGCCATCATTGGAACAAATGAAGATCAGAAAAAATGGATTGTATAAAATTATTGTAGATTTGTGTGTCTTTCTCGTTTGGTTGATCTAATTACCCAGTTTGAAAAGGTGCTTTGGGCCTAATAGAGTGACAAGGTGTTGTGAGTAGATAAAATTTGAATATTAGAGATTAATAATATAAATGCGACTATAGCGAAGTTGTATGCAAATTTTTGTTTAAAATGTGTAAAGCAAATAATGCGCGACTGTTCGTGTATCTTTTCTCTGCATTATTTTTATTAAAATTGGAACTTGTTAATTTAAACAGAGATATATTATTATGTCAATATCTATTTGGCATCAGCTAAAAGTCTGGTATTGGTGCATTTTTTTGCTTTAAATCGAGCCACATTTTGGTAGCCAAGCTTTTAAAAAATTTGAAGATTACTTATAATATTGCATTGATATTCGGAATCTCTCCATTTTAAATCATTTACTGAGGGCCATTTTAAAAAATTTAATTTGACCCTAATGTGTATATATACATGTATAGAGTACCCGCACCATTGAATTAACGAACAATTTTGCCCTTAATTTTGGAAATACTCTTAATTTATTTATTACATACATATTTTCAAATAAATTTTCAAAAGCTTTATTGGCGAAAATTTTCTGAAATTCTTAAAATGCGTATTTTAAACATACTCGAGAATACGTTTCCGGTTAAATCGGTTTTAAAATCGCCCATGGTAAATTTAAAATTGAGAGATTCCTAACCCATGAATTTCATATTTCGAATACGACATTAGTATTACTCAATATGCCTATTTAATATATGATAAAAAAATATTTGGCCGTCGGTCTTAGGGCGGGCGCGTCCTTCCACGCATTATGAGGGAGGATTGAACCGGACAGTGAGTTCCCACTCTCTAATGGTAACCGTTAACGGGTTAACTAAATTTTTTTGGTTTATGTAGATCCAACCTGAAAACTACAAGTCTATTTATTTAAAACAATCTGTATATTTTTTTTTCCATTCTTTTACTTTATTATCCCATCTATAATCTTATATATAAATCTTAAGAATCTCAACTTTTGTTATCAATGATAATGGAAATAGAAGCCGAAGCCTCAGGACATAAATATTTGTGCCCTCAATTATTGTCGAGAGCACGTACAATGAAAGGATTATCCAATAACTATCCAAAATATTTTTTTATCGACCCTCTGGAAGTCATGCACGAGGCTTATAGAATTAAAAAGGATAGAGTTATCAATACCGGTTTAAACATTAATATATTCTATATATTTAGATATGGAATTACACTTCTTTTTTTTAGTGAAGTTAAAAAGAATACATAAAATTTATTATATTCATACACTTCTTTTTTTTTAGTGAAGTTAAAAAGAATACATAAAATTTATTATATTCAAATTTTTTTAAATTAATTTGAAATAAGATAAATTATAAGTTTTAAAAGAATGAGAGAATTCAGACTGAAAATCAAGAGAGCTGTTCTTTTTTTTTAAAGATGTAAATAATTGAACTGGCTTTTATTCTTGTAGAAAAAGACATTCAGCTACCGACTAATCCTGATATATCTATGATACTCTCTGAACAAGACATATCGTCAGCCCTAATCAAAATACACAATCAAACGGATCAACCCTATAATAATGATAATTCGAATGTTGCATTAGATATTGAAGATGAATCTCTTAATAGTATGGATTTTGACGCGCCCTGCACCTCACTCATGCCATACAAACATTACCAAAATAGAGGTTTTATTAACATGATTTAATAAAACATTTTATGGATTATTTCAATCTGCAAATTATATGGACTGGGTTTTCCTTTTTCCGGCAATATATTATTTTGACAGCTTTAAATCATTTTTTGACATATTATTAATATTTTACCTGAAATATATTCCAGCATGTGTATAATGCCTACTCTGGGTTTTTTAACTACTTTTTAATTTATATCTAATTTTTTTTGCATATTATGACTTAAAAATTAATAAAATTGTCTGAAGTATGTAAGGGGTATGTTTGTACAGTACTTCGGCAAAGAATGAATATATCTCTTAAAAGACCTACGATTAACTCTTTGAGCGCAGAATTTTATTTTTATCTATATAGATAAAAATTTCTGAAATATTTTTTAAAAATAAGTGGTATTATATTCATATCATCTCCCCCAGCCATATCAGGAGGCGTAACAATTTATAAAAAAATGATTAAATAAAAATAAAGTTTTGATTTGTAACCTTCATCTTATTTAATCATCAAAATTAACAATTTTATGGTTTTAAAAGGGGAAAAAATCTTATCTTTTTTAAAATTTTATCATTGGTAAATTTGAAAATAGTAAATGCCATACATTATTAACTCTTGTATCTCACGCTAATAGCAGAATAATGGTTTCAAACTTGATCATGCCCCTTAAAGGGTTAAATGTTTATCCAGACATAAATGGACAGTTACTCAAAAACATATTTTGAACTGATAGTTAATAAAATTAAACACAATAATTCTATTTGTAAAACCACTTTTCATAAAACTTTAACTCTCATCGCCAAACCTGACTTCATAAATTTTTTTTAAATACCATAAATTGGCCGGGCTTGACAAATAAAATCGTGGGCCGGACAACTTGTGCAAAAGTACTTAAGGCTGCATTCAAAGTGGAGGCGGATCCGTTTTTTACATCCGTTCCGTCAAAATTCAATCTCATTAAAAATGATATATACGTTCAAAGTGCGTCCGTTCCGATACCTTCAGTCTTAAAAACGGTTCCGGCAAATTTTGAAGTCAAAACATTTTGACTTTTTGATCAGGCAAATTTTATAGAGTATTATAACGTAATTTATAATTTTTTTAAATGAAAATCAATATATATCATTTTTAATGAGATTGACTTTTGACGGAAAGGATGTAAAAAAACGGATCCGCCTCCACTTTGAATGCAGCCTAAGAGACCGGGCTTTGTAGACCTCTAACTACAAATACTTTTTAAATAATATTTAAACCTATTTTTATTAGTTTAATAAGTAAAAATTATTTAATGATCCTTCCAAGACTTAAATATTATACTTTCATTCATTTATTTGATCTTATATTCGTAAATCTAACACCATGAAACAATATTCAAATATAGATATATAACTATTATAATATTTTTAAATGTAAATTTCAGAAATGACAAATTAAATGTATACTATTTTAATCATTAGAATATATTTTAAGAAAAAACTAATTTTTTAGTCCCCAAGCAACACATAGGCCAGACGAGGAAAATATTCTTTCTACAGAAACTGCTGCATCAGAATTTATTAAAGATTAGGATTAAATTTTTTAATAACCTCCTAACAAAAATTATATTTTAGAATCTATACCTCAAGATTTTAATATTATTACGGAAAGCGAAATCATTAATTTAATGTGATAGTCAATTGCTTGACACAATCTGGTATGGATGATTTTTTATGTGAACAAATTAATCCACCTTAGCGCACTTTCTCTATTCATCGCCGTTCTTAAAATTTGTTTCGCATAATGATTTTCGTTATTTTAAATTTACCCCATAAAAAGATACGATGGTCGTTTCTAAACTCTAAACTAATAACTCCTCATTATATCTCTCGTCGTTGAATGCAAAATTTATCATTATTCTTCACACATTGGTCGCAAAAAGAACTGTTACTCTCAGATATTTCTCCATTTGTATTTTATTTATATATTTCTCGTAAATCTCTATTTAAATTTGAAAAAAAGCGCTCAAAGTAGGATTTAAAAGTTGTATAAATAACACATTGACGCTAACAAACCAAAATTAATAAAAAAATATCGTATTGGGTTTTTTTAATTATCGGTGCCGATCCAATATTTTATATCGACACAGCCCTATTGCATGTTTATTCTGGTTTAGTTCATAAAACAGATTCGGGATGAACCTTTAAAAACCGGTTCAAATCTTTTCGCAAACAAGCATATTTAGATTTATATAAAATAATTTTTTTTAAAAAAATTATCACTATTTCTCTAAAAGATAATATTGATCTGTATACAGTTAAAATATTTTCAAGATTCGCTTTATATCTATCTATAAGAGAATACGACTTTATGTTTAACTTGGGTAGCTTACACTGTCAAATAGTAAAAATACAAAAATATTTTAAAATAATTACTGATATTGATTAATCATCTTTTAAAGAGTTAAGGTTCAATAAATAATAGTCTAATTTAAGTTCAGCTTTGGTTCGAATTTAATCCCTGAAATTAATCACCAAATTGTACAATGAATTAATTTTTAAACAATTTAAATTATTTATTTTTTTCATTATTTCACTAATCCTTTTTTATTCATTTTCTGAAAAAAAAATACCAACAGTTTTAAGTGCCAAATCAAAAGAAACCATTGACTCTGACATACAAAAATCGTTACCCATTACCGATATTTATTCATCTCCAATAATAGAAGACAATCCGCTTGACCTGAATCAATTACCTTATTTAAATTCCCTCGCCCAATTCAGTGAGTTGTTTTTGCGAAATAGATCTTACCAACCCAAACGTCGCACTATTAAACATAACGACGGAATTAAATTCGATCTCGATAAACTTATTGATTTGTTATATTTTCTTAACCCGTTTTGTTTGCCTACTTTGCAAATTACATCTGTCAAAGACGAAAAGAATGATGTAATCAAAAAATTTGGCAGGATAAATAGTAGCCGGGAAATCGCTCTCCCCCTTTCTAGTAATAGTGTTGCCACCTCCATTTTACAAATCAATTCAGATACCTCTGTAACCCTACGCAATTTAAAGTTCAATTCAGCTCCTATCCAAGCATCGGATAATTGCAAGGATCTTCCGATTAATAATTTACCAAAAACCTTTGATTTACAAACCCTACCCTCAAAACGCATTAAAATTTTGGGAATCATAAAAAAATTAAATACTTCAGATGGGAAAACCGATAATATGATGATCGATTTCATTGGATCCAATAACACGGTTGAAACTCATACATTAAAAAATCTTAGCAATTTGCAATTTAGAGATTATGGATGTTATTCTAAAAAGCAAAAAAAAATATAAATCCTATAATGAAACTATAATATAATTTATTTTATTTTTTTTCCTTTTATTTACCGAATCTATGTAGAATAACGCATATTATTTCACGTTTGTTAATAAGTAACTGATTGTAATTTAATATATTTTTTTAAACTAAATATAGTAATAGATTTCATTTAAAATACCTGTGATATCAGTTATTCTTTCCTCTTAGGCCTCGTCATATTCGATTCTTACTCTTAAATATGAGATAATATCTAAAATGGTGATTCTTTTTCAGCCCCTTCAGTTGCAAAAAAATTGCCGATAATTCTTTACTTTTGATGAAGTAAAAAAAGGATTTGTTATTAATTTAAAATATAATTAAAGAATCTCAAATATATTTTTTAAAAATAAGTGTCATCATATAACGAGGCCTGGCAATTTAAAAGAAATTATGATGAAAGGAAGTTCTGCATTGATTACATAATTTTTCTTATTTAAATATTTTAATTATAGAAATAAATCATTTTAAAAAATTTATTATAATTTATTTTATTTTTAAAAATGCCTTATTGGAGTAATTCCTGTTTCAAATATAAATAATTTAATAAATTGTAACATTAACTGAGTATTCAAAAATCCTTTTTTTTAGAAATATTTTGCTTGTTTTAATAAAGAGCCCTTGAGAATAAATATGATATTATTTTATAAGTGGTTTCCAGCTAGTATCATCGTGCGATCTGCTCCTAAGAAATTTTATAACCGTTTATTACAAAGTAACCTATAGATATTTTGACTTTCTTTTCAGTAGCCTTTTATTTTATGCGCAATTATATTTCTTCTAGGATTTATTGATTGGTTTTAAGTGTATAAAAACTATTTTTAAAGGCTGAGCAGAATTACATTCTAGCTTTTATATATCTTTAAAAATAAATGGATTATTTTTTATTAATAAGATTTATTTTAAATCATTGTTTTTAATATGTTAATTTGTCTATACTTTTGTGACTAAAAAAAATTTGTATAAAATTTAATAATAAATCTTGGAAATTTTTATACTTATAAAAAACCAATATAAAGTTTGACTTAATAGATATTTAAAATATCAGTTTGATAAGAAATATGACTACTTTATATTTAGGTTAACCATATATTTTTTTTCTATCTTTCCTCTCAGATTAAATAAGGTATTTAGTTTAATAATTAATTTTTTCATTGTGCAACTTTGGATGCATAATTCTTTAAATATATAGTTTTTTTTGATAAGATTGCCATTGACATGTTCAGGGTTGGACTGTATTGCTAATAGTTGCATTTGAAATACAAGTATTTATATTTTGGTATTTGAATAAATAAGAGATATCAAAAACGTTACTTTTAAAAGGAACCCGCTACCGCTACTTTGACCTGTCAAATCCATATAACGCGCTATTACTTACCAATACTTTTTTTAAAAATATTTTATTTATGTATATATATATATATATATATATAAATCAGCATTTATAAACATTTAAATGTATTAATTATAAAAGAATTTATAAAAAAAGGCTAAATAATATGATAATCATAGGCGTAGCCAAAGGGGGAGGACAAGGGGTAATCCCTTCCCCTTCAGAAATTTATCACTTTTTGTGAATATCATTTTAAGCTAATAAAAAATATCCCCCTTAGTTCACTCCCTGACCCCCAAAAATGTCTGCATATATCTTAAACAATAATTTGAAAGATAGAATGTAAAAGTTGATATTTTTTCCTAATGCCTATTTTTTTAAAGTAGCGCTTTATTAGATACAGCTACCAAAACAGATAGTGCGCTACTTTAACAACTCTGGTATTTGTATTTTAAATAACTAAACTATAAAAAGTATTTTTTATTTATACAATTTATTTCTAATATTAATTTTAGCTATCAATCACCTGTTATTTTCTATACTAATGTTGAAGCTGAGAAAATATATTACAATAGTAAAAAAAAATGCTCGAAGGAGAAGTTGCTGAATTGCTGAGAATCAATTTTTATAGCAAATTCTTTCACACTTAAAAATTTTTAACGGTCTATAAACAGGTAAAAAAAATTTAAAAATATTGTTTTTTGGATTTTAATATGCCACATCTATAAATCAAAATTCTATCGACATTTTTTAAGCATGGTTAAAATCTGATATATGAAAAAATATTTCGCTCTTTAGGGTTTCGAATGAAATTGACCTTTTTCCACATAAAAAAGAGTGGTAAATGTTATTGTGATAGTTCAATACCCATCCTAAAAAAAATTAAAATTTTAAAAAAATAATTTTCAATTGGCGTCTCTAAATATAAAAATTTGATGACTAAGTACATTGGGGGAAAAGCGTAATAGGCTCTACTTATTTGAAGGTTTTTCTACTTTTATTATATTCTAAAATAAAAGAAAAATACTTTATTTATTAAAATATCGCATATATTACCCATTAGGTTTCTAATCTAGTGTATATATAATACTAAGCCCACTAATGAAATACATAATTAAAAATTTTAAATTCTGTAATTTTATAAGAGTTTATTATTAATACTTGTTAAATGATGTTGATCCAATATTGACAGGTGACATACAATAAGTATGTGATAAGTTTCTATTTGATTAAATTTAATCTTTTGATGAGAAAATCATTAGAGGATTATAAGGATATATTTGTTGATGAAGATTATAAAATTTATATACAAGTTTTATTAAGTGTATCTATTTGTCCTGATTTTTGGGATGTTTTATATGTTGACAAAGGTTTTACATGTAGAATATATTGGTAATAATATTTGAGATACCTTTCCTATTAATAAGCTTACATATATTTTAAAGATTGACTATTAGAAATATTTGTATTAGAGATATATGATTAGGAATCATTGTTATAAATTTATGTTTAGAAATTTTTGTATATTTTTAATTCTATATTTTGTGTTTTATCTTTTATAAAGATGAATATTTCTGCCAATCATATTATAAATTTCAAAAGTACATCTGTATATTGGTAAATTCCCTGATTAATTGCTCGCATAAAAGATTATGGACTGATGATTATAAGGTTATTTTACCAAAGAATGTAACAGTTATAATTGAGAAGTTAGCCAAGATATTTTAATATTGCCAAACTTCTAGTATATTTTTATACTTTTGAATAATATTTTATATCATTTAGTCTTGTTTTAAAATTTAACTTCTCTTATAGAGAGTCTGAATTTACCTAATCTCATAAATATCATTTTAGTCTAATACCCCCCCCCCCCCCTTCCCCCAATAATAAAAAAGAAAAGTAAAAAAATAATTTGAAAGAAAAATAAATAAATTTTTTTTATATAATAACCATAATTCATAATTTTTAAAAATGAAATTTTTTAATAAAATAAAAATTTAAAAACCAAAATTATTTTTATAAAAATATAACACCCAAAGCCAATATGTGGACCTAAAAACTAATAAAATTTATGAGGACAAACCCACCTAATAACCCCTTTTTTTAATATTAGAGCAAATAGCCCACAAATTTATTTTTGTAAAATCATAAAAAATGTGATCAGATAATATATTGTTTAACTGGCCATAGCAAATTTACCTATTCCATAATATTTTTTTATATAAGAAAAAGAAAGTATTTAAATTATCATTTTTATCAAATTAGAAGAAAATGTAAGGTGACTAATCATATTATTTTAAATCAAGGATTTGAAATCTAATCCTGTAATATAGCACATTTTAATTAAGCATCATTTTTCAATAACCAATTTTTGTTTTAATTAGCATTGAATTTGTTTAGAAAAAACACTATACATGATTTATAAAGCTATATATAATTATAATATATGCACCTTTGGATAATAGATATTTGTTTTATGTTAACTCATTAAATTTTATGCTCAAAAATATGTTTTTATTACAAATATGTAGAGAAATGATGTAAGATTTTTGTTAATATTTAAACCCAATATGCAGTGTTTCAAACCAAAATTTGGGTGCAAAATTTAAGACTATTTAAAGACAAAGCCTTGCATTAAACCTATTTTTTCAGATCCAACCTGATCCAAGGAAAAATGTTTAAAAAAAATATTTTGTCCTACCAATCTGATATAAGAATTTTTTTTTATTGCAGTCTTGTAAAATGCGATATTTTAGCAAAATGAGGGAAAGTGCTGAAGGATAATGAACGATTTTATCATTAGGGAAACAATAAAATTTTATTAAGGTCAAAGAAAAGTCTGGGTTTTACTAAGTTCGAGAGAATATCTGTTCAAGTAAGACCATATTAAACTCGGATCATTCCATATAGGGTACTAAGCAAAACTCATTTTGTTATAAAAAAAACTCCAACCTTGTCCCAAAAACAAATTGTCGATAAATTGGTCCCTATTTATTCTGTGTTCTCATCTAACCAAACAATTTTAAAATTCTAAATCAGAATTCAGGTTCAAATTCCTGGTAATCGGATTAAATATCATACATTAGAGGTCCGCCCGCCCATCTAAGTTGGTGGGTGGGCAAAAAATTTTTAAGAACGGGAGGGTGGGTTAAAAAATTTTTTAAATATGAGCGGGTTGAAAAATTTAAACAATGGGCGGGCGTGTTAAAAAAATTAAAAATTCTTTAAGTAAATATTAATAAAAAAATTGATCTTATGAACTTTTTTGGATATTAAAAATTAAAATGACCTTTTTTGGTATAAAGTTTTTTTAAAAATAAATAAACTTTTTTGTATATTTATAACTACTTTGGTGGAAACGACAAGAAAGATATATGCCAAAGCTATCAAGATTATTAAGAAAAATATTGGCAATTCCTGCAACTAGTAAGAACTTATTTGAATTCAGAAAATATTGTTATTATTTTTGCATTATAATTTAATTACATATAATATCAATTTTATATTTATATTTTTTTAAAATATTTTATTTGATCAAATAAATCATTCATAATTTAAATTGAATATTTTTTTGCTTAATATAGTAATTTCCTAAATTATAAAACTTTTTGTAGAAGTGTAATGCTGAAATTTTTTGTTTATTAGATGCTTAAAAAATTTAAAGAATGGCCATAATTAAATTTTATAATAGCGGGTTTGGGTTAAAATTTTTTATAAATAATGGGTGGGCGGGTAAAAAATTTTAGACTAATGGACGGGCGGGCGGGTTAAATTGTTTTAAACATTGGGTGGGCGGGCTTATGGTCCAAGAACCCGCCCAATGCAGACCTCTATCATACATAATATATAAAATAAACTTAAAACTTCCTCTACAACCTATGTGTTTTTTAATCATAGTATCTTTTATCACCACGTTGAGCAGCAGTGACAAGTCTAACCATTTAATCAACATTTTTATAATATTTTACCTTAAATTTTAGATCATAATTTTAGATTTTTAGTATTCTCCTCTTTATAAATAAAAGACTAATTACCCGAATTCATGTTCAGGAATTTTAACTTCTATTTGGTCAGAATTTTAATAACAATAAACTAACCAAAACCGTTATTCTAAAAGATGCCCAAATTCGCCCCGCTTCAAAAATACTCTTAGTAAAAGTGGGTTGCCAATAAACCTATATAATTTGATATTTTAGATACACCATTTGTCGACTTGAGGTAGCTTACAATATTTATTATTTTTAAATTTAGACTTATTTAAAAAGATCCTTTGAGAAATCCGGTCCGTTAGCTCCGGTCTCTCCTATTTGCCCAATATAAATAAATTGATTAATTTTTGAATGATGATGCAGGGATTTGAAACGAATTTAAACAATATTATTTTATATTATGTAATGAATCCTAATATATCTTAAATTCTAGCTTTCTATAAGAATGTTAATTTGAATAATAAATGATAACTAAAAAATAAAATGATAAAATTTGCGAGGTAAATTTGAATATTTAAACGAATGCACGATATCAAAGTTATACCTTATGATTTAAGTTAACTAAATATTATAACATTATTATAATAGTTTTATAAAAATTTGAGCAAAATTATTTTTTTTAGAATATAATACAGACTTATCCAGACATAGAGTTCAACAATAATCCTGAAATCAAGAATTGTGTTGTAAGTCTCCATAACTTACTTTACTATTTTTTAATGAATATGAATATTGATTCCATTTTATCTTAATTCGGGAGTTAATAATATGTCACAATGAGCCAATAAATAATATAAATAAATCAAATAGATAGTTGATTACTCATTTATATAATGTAATAAATGATTATTCATAATCATTAATTATTTATAAAAAGGCTTGCAGCTTCAAAGATACTAACAAAACATTCCTTAAAATTAGATTTTTTGGTAAACCTTACGATGCCCAAACCCTCACCCAGTTAAGTCATGATATTCTTCTGGATAAAATTATAGATAAAAGCTTGATGGATAAAGAAGAGGATGACCAAATAGCTTTGTACGTATGCCCACCTTGTTCCGAGATGACTCAAATGTATCACCAAATATTCCATTGCCAGTATAAAATCTACCAAAAATGTAAATCTCAAGTAATGGGATTGGAATTTATTTTTTTTAAATATTTTTTCTCCCCAATTTATATCAATCATTCTTTTATCATTTTTCAAATGTCTTTTTTCTTAATGACAGATCATCGTGATTAGGGACAGGGAGCAGTACCAAAACAAACGGTTAACCCTGGAACAATTGATGGAATTGGCTTTCGATAAGAAAGGTTGGAAAGAAGCGGTAATATAAAAAAAAAATTTTCATGGGATTCTTAGATCCAAATCGGGATTCAAAATAATTTGATTTTGTTTTTTTTGTTTGGACGTTTTGCAAACGGGTCAGGTCATTTCCATTACAAGTTAGAATAAATTCCATTTTCGGAAAACGTCTTTGAAATCAAGTAAAATTTTGTAAATTGGCTAGATAATTGTTGTGAGGATTATTGTTATTGAAAAACTTATTGAGCGATTTTTACTTTTTTCAGGAAGTGTTTAAACATCCATATTCTTTATAGACTGGAAATATGGTTGGCCTGTTTAATTCCCCACAATTTTTAAATAGGACCAAGTATCGACTCTGGATTTGATCCTAATTATGGCAATGGCCTATATCATCGATACATCAAAAAAAATTTTTTAAAAAAAACTCTTTATCGTAGGATAAATGAACAAAAAATATACTCAATTTAATTTTTTTTAAAAAATTTATTTAATTTAAGAGGAGGATAAACTTGGCAAATTTATTTTCTTCACTTATTGTCCTTCTCCCAGTCCCATCTAGTTAACCATGTAAAAAAGATACTATGACACTATACGCTGAGGTCAAAATTTTTGGCTCTGGCACAAAACCCCAGCTCGGACCTGAAAATTTAAAAATATTTCAGACTGGGGATGTTTTTCTTGGTTAATCAAAGTGAAAAGATTATTAGAAGTTATCTGGACAAAACAATTGGTGAATAAAAAGATTTCGAGTTTATTAAATTTATCCTAGCAGTAATTCGAGATTCTTAACATAGCAATCATTTTTTTAATGATAATGAATGAATGAAATTTAAAAAAATATTTATTATTTGTTGACCTAATTGAATAATCCAAATTGATATTTGTAAATATTATTCGAATAAATACAATTATCGATTCGTAAAATAAGGCATTACTATACTTATCGGGATTATATTCCTTTAAAGGATTGTTACAGGCCTAAAAATATAAAAATTGTGACTTTTTAGATGAATTTATTTAATTTTATTTCGTTTTGAAAATTTTAATTTATGTGTTTTTCGAACTGGCTTGAAAATCACACTAATTTTAAGTAAAGATTTTTTTTTGTTAAAATTCATTTAGATAATCTCCGAAATACGTACCGTGTGGGATAACGCCTTGTATTATAGTGAACGATTTGTTGAACTGCAATCTAATTAACTTAAACCTTTAACCTAAGAAAACAACTTTTAATTAGGCTATTTTTTTATCGCTGAAGAAGAAGATTTACTAATAAACTATTTATTTATTTTTTTTATATTGCAGCATATATTCTTTGGCGAGGTGTAGTAAAAGGAGATTAATTGATTCATTTATAAATTATATTTTATTGTTACATTACTCTTCTAAATTTGTTATTTTTTAAAAAATTTTGTTATATTATAACTTGCTTCTTTTTTAAATGTCCATGACTTTTTTTTAAAAAAAAAATTTTGTTATATTGTAACTTCATGACATTTTTTTTAGAAAATATTTGCTATATATTTTTTCATTTGAAATATTCCTGATTTTTTGAGATAGCTTAGTTACTTAGTATTATAATCCGCTAAAAATTGTTTAATTGTTAAAAACCTTTGTTTAAATAAATATATTTTTTTATACTAATTATGTTAAATAATCCTTAATTGTTTTTAACAAAATTGTTCTTTTTTTTGTTATTGTTATCATTGTTTTTTTTAATAAAATGGAAATATTAGATTACCCGCATAAAAAAAGGAAGCACGGCAGTCCCTGAAGTGGGGGAAAATTTTGGTCCAAATTTTATTTTGATCATATAATCAGGATTTTTATCATATTTTAGAAAAATGTGTTTTTTTCTTCTTGGTTCATTTATCATAATTGTGTTTTGTTTATATGTACATTCATTTTCTGTAATATTATAATAGCTAAACTCCAGAAGCAATGCTTATCGGAAGAAAATTTATTTATTGACTGAAATAAATTTAAAAAAATTTCATAAATACTAAAATAAGGATAAGAAATAGGATTAAAGCTTAAAGAGATGTAGGATAGTGTAGACCAACTTCTTATAATTTTAATTACTAATAATATAAATTTTTGAAAAAATATGAAATATATTGATAATTTCACAACACCATTTATGCTAATATTCATTTTCCTTAATGCAACATATTTGGAAGCAATTATTTAAATCTTTACAAAAAACATTAAAAATGATCTCAAAATATTTACTCAATAAAAATTTATTAAACAGTGAATTTAAAAATATAGTAACTGAAAGATAAGATAAAAATTTGACCCTATTAATTATGGGTAGACAAATATGAGTAAAATGTATTATAATTTTTTTTATAACAATCAATCCCAAGGTCCTTTTCTATAAATTAATTTACACGGGACCAATATGCTTAAGGGAGATATCTAAGTGAATTTATTAAAGTAATTGAAGAAATTGGAAACACATAAATTTACATAATAAATAATATTTTAATGAAGAAACCTGGACATATGTGAGAAATATTCAATTATCTAATTAATTTGCTTTTAAAGGATCTAACAAATAAAATATTACCAATTTAAAATTTAGTAATAGAAGCCTAAATTATTATAAAATTTAACATTCTTTCACACATTTAAGGGAAAAGGACTTTAAGATAAGAATAGGATTGTTTCCTTAAAGTTTTCTAGCCCACCCAACTCTTTGGACCGTATAGTTTTCATATTAATAGATTTTACGGAAATACTATATTTTTATAGAAATAAGAGATTTAATTTTCTTGATCACGAAGTTTTTTAAATGATCTCGCGCATCTTTACAATTTTATAAATTCAGTTCTACAATAGAGAAAGTGGACAAATCATACTTATCTGACATTCCTCAAGAATTTATTATCAGGGAGATTTTTTACGGAACAAAATTATAGAGATCGAACAATTTATAAAAAACACCGCAAAATTTTTTTGTTGCCGAGACATTGACCCAAGATATAGCGGATTTAATTTTAAAGACAATGAAGTTGTTAAAAGATAAAATACAAAACGATTTTTTGGATACCTAAATTTTGATGTTGAATCGTTTTCACCTTAAAACGAAGATAACAAATAAAATAATTAAAATTAATTCATACTTGTTTAGATAATTTATTAAGTCTATATATTTTTAATAAAGCATGAAAAAAAAATCAATAATTGACCTGTAAAATAATTTTTTAAAGGAAATTTCTAATTTTTCGTCCAATTATAGTTTACCGGGAAATTTACATTCCTACTCATCGATGTTCTAAAAACTTTGGCGAAAATGGACTAGATAAATAATTACGGCTTCAAAGCAGAGGATATTCATATATATTAGTCAATACTTTTTGTATTGTTTAACTTTTAAATTTAAAAAAAATTTTATTGCAAAATATATTAATTTAATTATTAAAAAAAATGGGGTTTTACAACAATTTTAAAAAATTTGCATGCGCCACATTTCATTCTTCCATATTGAATATAATAGCTCAAATCAAAAAATGTTCATCTAAAGTAAATGTTTTAATTGGGTGGAATAAGGTAGGTTATGGATATGGTTAGGAAACTATAGCCCTTTATTACGGTTGAGTATTGGATTGTTCGAGAATGTATTAATTAATATGGCGCATGAGGTTTAAACTAACCTAACTTTTGTATTCTTTCTTTGCAAAATGTAATAATTTCATTAAATATAATTTTTTAAAAAAATAATATTGGAAAACAGGATGTAAAAATTAATTTTTGTAATCATAATATCACTGAAATTTTCATTTATCACATTTATCTCAAAGAATTGAAGTATAAAATAACTCACTAGATGCCCCATAAGCATAATTATAATATCTAAAGTCCGTTGAGATAAAATAAAATTTTCAAAAATGTAATACGACTGTTTTGCTTTTGTACATTCAATATATTGGGATTTTAATATAAATAAATACGATAAATAAATTAAAATACACTTGTATTTTTTTAAAAAAAAATTATTAGATATATTTGTATTTTATCTTGCAAATATGAATATGATATTTTTTAGTATTTCGTTATAAAAGTAGACCAATCGTATAAATAAAATTATAAATAAGAATATAACAATTAGAGAATTTCGTAAACAACTTATATACCAAAAACTCTTTGCCAAAAAAGTAAGAGAAAATATATGCTATATTATAAGGAAGAAAGATTTTTGAACTGAAAAAAAGGTTTAAGAAAAAAAAAATGGAATTGATGATAAGAGTATCAACATGCGCAATTGGATTTGTTAGATGCTTGATTAATATTCGTTCGACTTAAATCTTCAGTTTCAATTTGTCTATTAGTTTTGCTTCTCACACCGGAATCGGCGGCGTTTAGGTCCAAACTTTATAAATTTTTTCAAAAAAAGTAAACAACACGGTAACATAATAGAAATCAATGGAAAGGAAAAAAAACTTAATAAGAATACTATTTACCTTTAAATTAAAGCGACAAAATTTCAATTGATTTATCTCATTTTAAACACAAAAAAAATAAAATATAAATAATTTAACGATAAATTATAAAAAATTTATGTTGTAAGAAAAAAAAACCTTCCGTCTCTGACGTTAGCGTAAATCTTTTTAGCGCTCTCTAGAAACGCTTCTTCAACATTTTCACCACTAAAAAATATATTTACATATAAAAGGTTATCATCGGCAAAAGGTAAAAATTAGATATAGCATAGGTCTTAAAACTTAAAATTATATAATTATTACGTTTTTGCGCTTGTTTCGAGGAATAATAGACCTTTGTTAAAAAAAAAAAAATTATTTTTAATAAAATAGGAATAAAATTTTAGAGCCATCATTGATATAAATATTTGAAAGAAAAAATTGATACGCTCGATTTTTTTAATAATTACAATTTAGATTTAACTTAATGCTTCTAAGTAGGGCTGTGATTCCTCCTTCTAAAAAAGGAGTCAGGTTCAGTAAAATATCTCGGGTTCAGGGTTCGCCCTCTAGAAAAATAAAAACATAAGATTTAGTAAAAAATAAAAGAAACATTTTTTTTTAAATTTATTTTTTTACTATATTTAAATTTAACATTTCACCAAAAAATAATTGGTACCATAATTATAATGATACTACTATACAAGATAAAAATAATATTTCATTGGTTTTATTTAAAAAATTTTATAAGCGAATTATTAAGATATCTATCAAATCTATATCACTATCGATTTTTTTATGACCAACTTAGACAGTGCATTGCAACTTACATTTAATAAAACTATTTTTACTTTGTGATTTTGTTCTTTATTTTGGTCTTATTCTTACTTTTAATTTAATAATCCAACAAACAATAAATATGTTGGTAAAATCAAAAATTTATGTATAAAATGGAGAGTACTTCTAAAATATAATAAAATGATTTTCACAAAAAAGTTTAAAATATTTTTTTTTAAAAAAAGAAGTTTAATATTAAAATTTTTTTTTTAGAATCCTGAACCCTACGGGTTTGGAGTTAGGAGTAAAATATCGAGGGTTCGGGTTTACAGCCTTGCTTTTAATACAATATTAATTATCAAATTTTGATTAGTCAATACAAATCTAGCCAAATAATAAAATAACCAATCGTTATAATTGATTAACTGTCTCTCAATAAATATAAGAATTGGGAAAATTAAGGTGAATATTGATCATTACAATTTTGTTGGGCGAAAGTGGATGCCTCTTCGTAGGTGACTTCACGATTGGTTTGAGCTAAATCGCTCTTGTTACCGATCAATAATATTACCTGGGTATAATAACAATATTATTAAGACACGTTGATATTATTTTTGAACATGGCATCATCATAAAGGGATGTTCAGACCTCTCACAGTCCGAATTAAGGCACTAAATGGAATCTAGTCATTTTATCTGCCAAAATCGATGTGAATGCAGTCCGACCATGCTTATTTTTTTAAAAAAAAATTCGGACTGGGAAGCGGTCTAAACCTATACTGGTTGAATTTCATTGATGAAAAACCAGGTACTGAAATTAAATAAAGAACTATAGAACCTTGCATCGGACACATTTTATCAAGTTCGGCATGATCGGTGAGAATTTATATTTTGTCTGAACATTATTTTTTTTTTCAAAAATACTTCTATCATTACTAGAGATCATACCTAGGGTTGGTAAAAATAGTAATTTTTTTTAAAAAAATCAAAATAATCGCGATTTAAACCAAATAAAAATAATCCATATTTTTAACTAAAGAATTATGGCTTAAGATTGTAAAATATAGTTTTTTTAAAATTTCAATTTAATATCAAGGGTGCAAAAGTCAGGAAATTGTTGAAAAATTAAATATTGATATGTTGTAATTTGATAATTTTTTCAAATAAAGAGCTGATCAATGCAGTTAATATTACAAAAATGAGGGATGATTTGAAAAGAAATAATGAAAATTATATAACAATCTGTGGGTGTAATGCTCATTTTTTAAATCTACGATTTGGAAAGTAGTATCCGGGAACAAATAGTTAGTGTCGTAAGGTATTTCAAAATTAATCAATGTGCAAGTTTCAAACTGAAACAAGAGAGAGGGCGATTTCTTGTAACTGCACAAAATATTCGTTGGACTCAGTTGTAGCTAGTTTAGATGCCTTGGGCAAAATTATTTAAAATATGTGAAAGCAAATTAGAAAAAGATTGAAAATATCACAATCAAAAGAGCTGCTGAAGATATGATTGAAATCCTAAAACCAATTGCGAAATGTTAAAAATTTTTAGAAAGAAATAAATCAAATATTTCAGACATAGTTTATTATTTGGAAGAATTTGTAAAAGGTTTTCCCCGCCTTACATGCCATAAAAAAATAAGTAGTAATCAACTTTTATCCTTTGCTAAACAATACAATCAAGCTTTAATTCCTGTACACTTCAAATCCTACCTTTTAAATCTGAAATACGATTCAAATTTAACAAACCAATGAAATGGAAACGGCAATGGAATGTGGGAGGCTTCTGTATCCAGACATTGAGATTTTATTTATACTGGTAAAGTTTCAAGCGAGATCACATTTATTAAAATCATGCTAACTAGTAAATAAAGTAAACCCAATTGAAGGTGGGTGGCCCAAGGAAACTTGATGAAAGATGTAAATATTCTAAAAAATAATAAAGCAAATATTTACTGCATCTTCATCTGCTTCAGACGAGAGAGTATTCTCATTATTTGGAGTTGTTCACTCGAAGCTTAGGAATCGACAAGGAACAGAAAGGTAGGAAAATTAGTTTTTTTTATTTAAGCAATTAAATTCTAATACCAATCGACGATATAGATATTACTTGTGATTTTTAATAATATTTATTTCTTAATTTTACAAACTAATTGATTAATTTTTGTTATTATAAAGGAATAAAAAAATTTTTTTAAATGTGTGTAGATTTTGGTATTCATTTCGTTTTATTTAAATTTTGATTTAAATCATTCATTTTTTAAAAAAAAAAATCTTGATTTAAATCGGCCAACTTTGGTAATACCCGATATGATTATTTTTTAAATTTTGGGTTGGGGCAAAAAGAAGGAAAATCAGAGAGATTGAATCGAGATTAGAATAATTTTATTATATGTTTTTGAATTTAATTGATAAGTTTGAGGGATCTTACAATTAAATTCATTTTTGATTATTTTTTAATAACATAACTCATAAAAATAAATCAATTTTAATGGCAAATTTATTTATATTTTGATCCCGGGTTTCGAGTTGGATCGGGAAAATGCGTTTATTTTGTTCGAGATAGGTAAATATTTGCTTCTTGGAAATCTCAAGTCCTTAGCTAATATTTTAGAAATAGACCCTTTTCCCAATTCCGAAAAAAAGTATTAAAGATATGGACGTGAAAATGGTATAATTTTTCAGGAGGCAAAAAAAAATAAATATCCTTCGATATATTTTTAAGTCGCATTTAAAATTGTCAAAGAAATTGTAATGGAAAAAGATAGAAAGACAAAACTAGCCTTTGGCACGCAATTATTAATTTTTAGCCTATATATGTGACTAAAATGAATAAGAGTTTGTTTTGCAGCATAATAAAATTATAATTTTAGTACAAATAAATAATTTAATAACATAATTTACAACGCAAGAAAACGATAAAAACCTTTTTGAATGCTTGTACAAAAAAATATGAAATGCGTTTCAAACGTAAAGTGAAAGAAGCACCGAATGGTATACCTTTTAGAGCAAGATAAAACTAATCCATTAGGAAAAATAGTTAACCTAAAATTTTGTCATGCACCAAATCCGGCCGAAATATTAATATGAAGATCCTGCCCGAAAGAATGTCTTTCTGAGAATGGCCGATCGAGTTAGGTCGGATAAGGCAAATCCGTGCAAGTGTCTATAAGAACTTATTCACTGACTCGGCTAAATAATAACCTATTCTACATAATTTTACAAATATACAACTGCCCTAAGACTTTAAATTGAACGCATATACACTGATTAACATTCATTCGGTAAATTTAGCGATGAACGCGTTAATTATAATATGACGCGTTAATTATAAACGAAAAAAGAAAAACACTTGCACATATTCTGTAAGTTATTTTATTATTTTCTTAAAAATCATTAAACCGTATTAGGATTTGTTAGGTTTCTAGCGTCGGTGAGCCAATTGGTTAAATGTTCAAATGTGCTTCGCCTATTTTTAGTTAGTTATAAATTAAAAAATCAATATAAAAGGGTATGTAAACGATATTTTAAAAATTAATAAAATAAATAATATTAGTAATTAATTAATTTTGTGTTAAGCCTTAACACTAAAAAAAGACCAAATTTTGAAAACGTCATTGTGATAGAAATTATTTTTGGGGGTAATGCTTTGTTACTCCCTATTTTCAACCCCCCCCCTAAGGATATGGTGGTTGGTAATTTAATTCTCCCAAGTAGAAGATGAAATATGTTTTTTAAATATATAAAATGTAATGTATTCATAACCTAGTGATGTCGTAAACCATGAAAGCACCGGCAGCTCCCCTGTAATAACTCCTAGTCACTGCCCTAAATCTTTCCTGACCAGCTGTGTCCCAAATTTGGAGTTTTATTTTTTGACCACTAACCTCCAAGATTCTCGTTCCAAATTCCACTCCTATTGTGTGAGGACAATCTGACATAACTATAAAAAAAAACCAAATTAATTTTAAGTGGATCTATCAAAAAATTTCTATCACAAGTAGTGAAAGTCAAGGACAAGACCAAGCCATGATTAAAAGCTAAAAATAAAGATCGATATCACAAGACCAGATTTATTTTAAAATTCACTCCATTTATTTTATGGAGGACATAAAGTGATCATTTAATTAAGATGCCCACATAATGGTAAGGTTATATTTTGGTCAATCTATACATCTTATAGGGAGTTTAAATAAAAGAGCAAATGACCTTAACAATTTTAGACTTGATAATATTAAATGAAACCCTTTAAATTTAAAAAAATTATTTATAGTTTATCTACACAAGTTTTATTTATTTATATGTTGAAACAAGAGTTAATCCAATATGAGGAGATTCATGATTTAAAAATTTATCAATGTAGTAAAGATGGAAGATATTATATATATACTTTTTAGATCTAAAAAACTGGCAATAGAAAATTTCCATAGTTGTTAAAGGATCTAGATATAAAAATGTGGTATCTGTATCTAGATAGATTTTTGATTAAAATATCTGTATCTAGATATTATGTTAGACAATGTATCTGTATTTAGATCCATTTAAAATGTATCTTTTAACAACTTTGAAAATTTTATGTTATGAGAAATGTTGTAAGAAAATAAACTAATGAAAATAAAGATAAAAAATTTTAAATGCTTTATAATTCATAAGTCAAACTCTATTCATAAAACAAACATATATAAACATATATAAATAACTTCACTGAATAGGAAGCTTATCATTTTTTACAAGTAATTTATGCATTATAATTGATGGCTAATTTAAACCTTATTTTTTAACTTAATATAAAGATTAATTTTAATAAAATAATATAAAATAAAATGTAAACACATTATTCCAAAATAAATATACAATTATATAAAATTAAACATTTATAATTAAAAATACTATATTGTACTATATAAAATATTCCAAGGAGTTTTAAAAAAGCATAGAAATATTAATTACACTACAGAAAATTCATAATAAATGATTAAAAGCATTTTTATATTTTCTGATATATTAAAATTAGCTATATCAAAGTTTAAAAAATAAATTAAGAAATAATTAATTTATCTCAAAAAAATTAGACATGGTATAGGTTTCTATACATATACTGTTATAATAAATTTTATTTAGATTCTACAAAAATAAAACAATCTTCTGTATTTTAAATGTTTTTATAAAAATATTTAATATAAATATTAATTTATCAATAAATTACATTTTTTCTCTGTAAATTGATGCAAAAGACAAGATTTTCCAACACCCATATCCCCGATAATTATATATTTAAAGATATATGAATAATTATAGGGTATAGCTGTAGCCATTTCTAAAAAGATAATAGTATAATATAATCTTTATTATTTGATGGTTAAATAGGCTTACCTTTTTATGTTTTTATTAGAATTATTTAAAATACACCTGATCTGCTCTTTAAAAAAACTCGGCCTATTTAATATAATATAAATTATAAGTAATGCAAATGTTTATTTATTAAAAATATTTTGGTATATAGAAATTTAAAAAATAAAAATAAATAATAGCTATTAAGAAAGAAATCGAATAGAACTTGTGTTAAAATAACTTAATCAATAATTTTTTATAAATTTGGTTATAAAATATTGCTATATAATCGATTTAAAAAATTAAGTATCAAGAGAGGTTCTCAATCTAAATCGCTATCAAAAATCTCCATAATTGGGAATCTCGCTTACATCTCCTAAAATTTAAATTTAAAATTAATATGAATCGATGCTAGCGAAGTAAACACTTATTTAAATTGCGATCATACAAAAATAGATTATCATTACTCTCAGTAAACTAAATTGGGAATATGTATGATATTTCTTCCATATTTAGTAATCTTTTTAAAAACTCATTTTAAATACAAGTTGCTTCTCTAGTAGTATCTATTAATTCCTATTATTAATTTAAAAGATATAAGCAAGATTCCCAATTGTTCTAGCGATTTCTATTCCTCATGGGAATAAAATGATCCTTCAAGATAATAAATGAGATGAGATAGCTTTTTAATCCAATTATTCTTTACCACATACCAAAAATAATGACTCCGTAGTTCCCTATTTAAAGGAGTATTGACATCATCTTGATCAAGTTTAATATAAAACTTTATGACTTGTTGCGTTTCAATGGCATCTTATTTAACTTAGGCCAATTTATTTGTAGTCATAGATTACACCTTAATCTGAAAAATTGTTTTCCTTTTTCATAATATATCGTTTGGATTCTCTTTTAAAATCTCTAAGAATGTTTTAATTATTTCTAAAGAAAAAATTCATTTTACAAACAGATTGGAATTTTAAGTAATTTAAAGTGCCTTCACAAAAGAAGATTTGGATAGTGTTGTTAAATGGTTGGTTTTTTTCGACCACGATCCAGAGTCGAAGTCGTAAAAATTGGCCCAACCCAGAGCCAGGGTCGAAAAATCGACCACGACCCAGCCCGACCCAATGGGCCTGTTGAGCCGACCCAGGTTGGCATACTGAGTCGACTTGCTGGGTCGGCCTGCTGGGTTGGCTTGCTTGGTTGGCTTGCTGGGTCAATTTGTTGAATATATAGAAAATTAAACTAGTTTGTTTTAATCCGGGTTCATTGTTTTTGATATTAGAAAGATGTTTTTTTTAATTTATTTATAAGTAAATTATAACTTTTTATCTATCACATTGGTCATAGATCTGCCGAAAGTAAGCGAATGTGAATTATAAGGAGGCCCACCCTCCCTATAATTTTGCTGATTTTTTTTTCTCAGGGATACCAACACTTGTACAGATGTATATTTGAAAAATGAGTGGAATTACGCCCTATCCAATTTGTAGTTCTAGAGTGAGGTATAGTTATGGGTGTGAAGGAGAAAAAGGTAAGAAAATAAAAACTATATCTTCTAAATACAAAATAGCTATTAATTATTTAGTCAAAAAAATTTTAATTTTAGATATTGTATTTTAAACTAAATATTATGTAATCAGTAAAATACATATGACTTGATAGATTTTCCTTACGTTATATATTCTTAACTTAACTTTGTAATCGGAAAAAAATATATTTTACTTCTCATAGTTTTTTTCTAACATCAAATTTATATACCTTTATCATATTATTTGGGTCTAGAAGATAAGGTATTTGGTCATGATGATTATTAACCTTATACGGATGTATAAAATAACATTATCATAAAAAATAAAATTTTATGGGTAAGATATAGTTAATTTAGAAAACTAGAAAACATTAATTTAGAAATTAACAGTCAAGAGAGTAATAGATATATTTTATTTATTTGTTATAAAATATCTATAAATAATCAAAGAGGGTGTAACAAAATGCCTGAAAAATATCTTAAAAGAAAAAAAATATTTTGAAAAATAATAGTAAACAATATTTGAAAAAGGCAATAATAGTCTCATTATTATTTTTATCAGGTCTCCCTGTGCAATTGATATTTTTTTTTAAATTATAAAATGATGTGAAGTTTTATTTTGTTCCTATGTTTACATTTTCGTTCGAATAAAGAAAATTTTCTTTGCAGCCCGATTTATAAACCAACATATTTTTATTTTAAAATACAATATATTTATAAACCTTATAGGTTATTGCCACTCTCGTGTGGTATATTATTTTTTTATGTTATTTTTTTATGTTATTTTTTTATGTTATTTTTTTATGTTATTTTTTTATGTTATTTTTTTATGTTATTTTTTTATGTTATTTTTTTATGTTATTTTTTTATGTTATGTTATTTTTTTATGTTATTTTTTTATGTTATTTTTTTATGTTATTTTTTTATGTTATTTTTTTATGATATTATTTTATGATATTTTTTTTAATCAATTTTATATTTTTGCTTAAAAATTTAATTATAAAATTTAAGATATTTTTAGGAGAATTTTGCTTACAAATTTATTTTTTTTTTGTGGTAAAATATAGGAATTATTAATTCCGCATATTTAAGATATTTTTAGGAGAATTTTGTTTACAAATTTAATTTTTTTTGTGGTAAAATATAGGAATTATTAATTCCTATATTTAAGATTTTTTTAGGTAATTTTGTATTATGAATAAAATAGACCCCACCTTTGAAGTTTAATCTTTCTAGAAATCGGAATATAGTACGCAATTAAATATAGTATTAAAATCTATACACAAAATATAGTATTAAATACAATTTTATTCATTAAATTGAAATATATTATTGAAATTAATACAGTGATTTATAAAATGAATAAAAATGTCAAACCGATTTAACAATTTATATTTTCTAAAATATCTATATTCAAGAAGATATTCATGAATATTATCACGATCCCCATGTCTTTTGTAGTTTGCTTTTAGGTCCCGCCACAGCCTTTCGACTTTTTGGGTGTGGATTGATCTGTCATTAGGATCAACAAAATTTCGCTAATGATTGACCCGATAATGGAAATAATTGGCTTGTTCTAGCCTATTATATATAAGATAAATAGATTTAAATTTATTACCACTTTTGATTTACAGGAAAAATATATTTGAATACCCTAACTACGAGTCAGTCATTATCGTCGAATCTTGCATAACATTATTATCACACGCAGTGTGGTATCAAATATCTTAAATAAAAATTTGTAGAAAAAACAATTTTAAATATCTTAAATAAAAAATTAAATTTGTAAGCAAAATCTCCTAAAAATAACTTAAATATGCGGAATTATTAATTTTTCTATATTTTACCACAAAAAAAATTAAATAAGTAGGCAAAATTCTCCTAAAAATAACTTAAATATTTTACCACAAAAAAAAATTAAATTTGTAGGCAAACTCCTAAAAATAACTTAAATATACCACAAAAAAAAATAAATTTATAGGCAAAATTCTCCTAAATATAACTTAAATATGTGAAATTAATAATTCCTATATTTTACCACAATAAAAATTAAATTTGTAGGCAAAAATAAAAAATTGATTGCCATTTTGGCATACATAGCATTGTACCAAAACCAAATAGGTAAATTTTTTTATATATTATCTTTTATTTGTAGTGAGATCCATTTTCCTATGATATATATAACTTATTAAAAATTAAATTTTTAGATATATTCAATAATAAATATAGATTAATAGTTGAATTATCTTTTATCTCATAATAAATCGTTTAAATCTTTTAATATAATTATATTAAAGATATTAATAATTAAATTTTAAATTCCAATAATATTAAATCCGCAAGTTGGCGTCTATTATTATAAAATACTATTATAAAAAAATATAATCATTTAAAAATGTTATATATCAGAATTTACTCCTAAAACATTAAAGATTCATTTTAATAAACTGAATTATCATAATACGCATGGTGGAGGGCTATGTATAATATTTAAAACAAAATCATGCCGGTAAAGTATATTGTTAATATTACTATATAAAATATTATTTTGTGTCAAATGATATTGAATAATACCAAGTTACTATTTAAATAAAATAATTTAAATAATAATTTAAATATTATTTATCTTGATTTATCTAAATATTATAGTAAATGATTAATTTATATTTATATAATTAGAAACATATTTATATAAATATTTCACATGATGCCATTCATTCATTTACCTTTTTTTTACCTTAATAACAATAGATTTTTTTCTAGCGTCATATATCTTAATATATTCCAGAGACCTGCATAGGTACCATTTGCACATTTTTACGGCCCGGCCCGGATTTAAAAATTTAAGGCCCGGCCCGGATATTTTTAAAAAAAATTTTTTACGGCCCGGCCGGCCCGGATTTAAAAATTTAAGGCCCGGCTCGGAATTTTTTAAAATTAGATTCGACCTGGTATATACAAAAATTCACCTATGAGGTATTTTACCATATTTTTCAGCGAGTATTATCGCTTATTATTTAAAAAATATATGTAAAAGCTAATATTTTGAGAATATTATATTGAATTTATAAAAATTATAAAACTGTTATTTATAAAAATGGATATTTTGAGCATATATTATATTTTATATTGCATTTATAAAAATAAAACTAATATTCATAAAAATGGTAATAATATTTGTCATATAATATATTTTATATTACATTTTAAAAAAATAAAACTAATATTTAATTTATAAAAATGGAAAATATTTTGAGAATATAATATATTGTATTTAATTTACTATTTAATTTATAAAATAAAAATAAATCGCTATTTAAAAAAATGCATGTATAATAAATAGTATTTTGAAAATATAATCTAATTGCACAATATTAATATAATTTATTTTATAATATAAATTTATAACAAAAGAAGATAATTGTATTATATAATATTGTAAAAAAAAATAATGAAAAATATTGGATTAAAAACTTTCATGACTCAAGGTAAATATAATAAATGCAATAAATATTTGACAGTTTGCAAAGTAAAAAACCAGCATGATTGACGAAACC